TCCTCCTCCTCCTTCTTCCCTCCTCCTCTTCTTTTCTCCTCCTCCACCTTCCTCCTCCTCCCCTTCTCCTCTCCCTCCCACCATCACACACAGCCACCGACCTTCCTGACCAGAAATTAGCTAAATTAGAGCCTCCTGGAGGAAATGCACACACCCACCCACAAGTGCCACCCATTGACACCTTCTGGCACCTCCCTCCTGTTCCGATGCCAGCCTCCATCCCCCCCCCCAGTATATTGTCTCAGTGACGTCATAGTGCCTCAGTCAGCCAGTACCTATTAGAGCCTGGCACGAGCGGCCCTCCTCACACGAACTGGGTCATTCAGACGCTGTAAACAAGAGAAACGCCGCTCAGGACCCTTAGGGGGGGGTGTAGGGGTGTGTGGGTGGTGAGTGTGTGGGGGTGTGTGGGTGGTGAGTGTGTAGGGGTGTGTGGGTGGTGAGTGTGTGGGGGTGTGGGTTGGTGAGTGTGTGGGGTGTGTGGGTGGTGAGTGTGTGGGGGTGTGTGAGGGAGCATGAGAGAAGATGTGGACATGGATGGTTACTTTTTACATACATACATACATACATACATACATACATACATACATTCACATACATACACACATACATACATACGTACACACATACATACTTACATACATACATACATACGTTCTCGTGCCGTTCTTGTTCCTTTCCTTGTACCATCTATGGACCGTCCGTTTAACAGTACCAGCACCGTTTCTAGTACTGTTCTTGCACCGTTCCTTACACACACCGTCTATGTACCGTCCTTGTACCGTTCCCCGTTATAACCTAGGGTCATCCCTAATACCGTCCCATTGCCGTCTTAGTAACTCCCCAAGTACCGTCCCACTACCGTCCCTGGTACCGTCCCTAGTACCGACCATCCCCCATAGGGTCATAAAGTCTCCCTCACAGAACCAGTAATCCCTCAGTCTCCGTCACCATGGCCGGCCCTGCCTGACTGACTAACTGACAGATCCGTTGTTTGTTTCTCTGACCGTCCTTCCTTCCGTCTGTCTGTCTGTCTATGAATATATAATGAAGGCAGCAATCTTATTTTTCTTTGTCTATTTGTTTTTGGTTTCTGTCTGTCTGTCTGTGTAAAATAACAGACAGGAGTAATTTAGTTTTCTTTCCATCTGTTTATCTGTTTTGGGGCCGAATGCCTGTAAAACAGTGTTGGTGTTGTTATTGTTGTTGTTGTTATTGTTATTACTGCTATTGTTGTTGCTGTTATTTTTCTTGTCCCTCTTGATGTTGTTGTTGTTATTGGTGTTGTTGTAATTGTTGTTGTTGTTATTGTTATTACTGCTATTGTTGTTGTTGTTATTGTTATTACTGCTATTGTTGTTGCTGTTATTTTTCTGTCCCTCTTGATGTTGTTATTGTTGTTGCTGTTGTTGTAATTGTTGTTGTTGTTATTGTTATTACTGCTATTGTTGTTGTTATTGTTATCACTGCCATTGTTGCTGCTGTTATTTTCTTGTCCCTCTGATGTTGTTATTGTTGTTGTCAAGTTGTTGTAATTGTTGCTTGCTTGTTATTGTTATTTACTGCTATTGTTGTTGTTGTTATTGTTATTACTGCTATTGTTGCTGCTGTTATTTTTCTTGTCCTCTTGGTGTTGTTATTGTTGTTGTTGTTATTGTTATTACTGCTATTGTTGTTGCTGTTATTTTTCTTGTCCCTCTTGATGTTGTTGTTGTTATTGGTGTTGTTGTTGGTACGATAATCATACGGACAAGTGACAAGTAAACATTTAATATAAGTAAACATATAATGCTTCTGGGAGCTTCTCTTACTTCACCTTCACTGATCTGACTGAGAGTTTTTTTGTGCGTGAAGGATATATTTTTTTCCTTCTCCAAGTAGGGATTAGCGCAAGCAGTAACCACTTCTTAACCCCTCTTGTTTTTACCACGGGTTAGGTTAGGTTAGGTGTTTATGCTGACCAAGAATTCGCTCATCAAGGCCTTAGTTGTTAAAGAGCAGGAATACATTATAACACTTCACAAAAACCGTATGTTGTGTCGTACTAGAAATACCAGGGTGTGGTTGTAGTGGTAATAATAATAATAACAATAATAATAATAATAACAAAAATATAATGATACTACTACTACTACTAATGATAATAATATTAATAATAATAATAATAACAATAACAATAATAATAATAATAATAACAATAATAATAACAATAACAATAATAATAATAATAACAATAATAATAACAATAACAAAAATATAATGATACTACTACTACTACTAATGATAATAATAATAATAATAATAATAATAATAATAATAATAATAATATTAATAATAATAATAATAATAATAATAATAATAATAATAATAATAATAATAACAATAACAAAATATAATGATACTACTATTAATAATAATAATAATATTGATAATAATAAAAATGATAATAATGATGATATTAATAATGATAATACTAATAATAATGATGAAGAAAGATGGTGTCATAAAGTTTTAAAGTGGTATAAAATACAGGTAATGTTGGTGCTTATGACAGGTGGACAGAGGAAGGAAGGGCTAGACAGCTACTGGTTAGGGTGTGTTTTATGACAGGTATAGGACAGGTAGGGAGACAGATATTGGTGTAGAGGAGAGACAGGTACTGGTGTAGGGGAGAGACAGGTACTGGTGTAGGGGAAGAGACAGGTACTGGTGTAGGGGAGAGACAGGTACTGGTGTAGGGGAGAGACAGGTACTGGTGTAGAGGAGAGACAGGTACTGGTGTAGAGGAGACAGGCACCTGGTGTAGGGGAAGAGACAGGTACTGGTGTAGGGGAAGAGACAGGTACTGGTGTAGGGGAAGAGACAGGTACTGGTGTAGGGGAAGAGACAGATACTGGTGTAGGGGAAGAGACAGGTACTGGTATAGGGGAAGAGACAGGTACTGGTGTAGAGGAGAGACAGGTACTGGTGTAGGGGAAGAGACAGGTACTGGTGTAGGGGAAGAGACAGGTACTGGTGTAGAGGAGAGACAGGTACTGGTGTAGGGGAAGAGACAGGTACTGGTGTAGAGGTACCGGTAGTGATAGTGGTGGCCGAAAATATTTATGGCCCCCTCCCTCCCCCTTCACTCGCCCCTTACTCCCTCCCCCTTCACTCGCCCCTCACTCCCTCCTTACCCCACCCCTCCCTTCCCCCCTCCCTTTAATCCACCAGGGTCCTACTTACCTCAAGATTCCTCCTCCATTTCCCTCTTATCTTTAGGAGTAACGTAGAAAAACAAATCTTAGGGTAAAGTCTCTGATCATCTTCGCCGCCATTTTACCTCATAATCTTAATTCGGTTTATGGCCGCCAGGAGCGTTGATGCATTACCAGTTTAGGTAAAATCCAACTGGACAAAATTAAAAACTGGACAAAATTCTACACAGTGTCATTATCAGTTAGTGATCGAAGGAGACGAGCATAAACACTCATCTCCACCTTCTCCCCGTCCTCCCCCCCCCCACCATCTGTAAAACAAACAAACACAGACAACATCTTGATCTCGACTACAGTACAGTACAGTAGTATAAAAGTGAGGCGGGGGTCGAGATTCTCAGAGATTCGTGTAATGGTAAATATTTTTTCTCTTCCTTAATTGTCCCTACAAGGTCTGCTCCAGCGACAGGTGGGGGATTAGGTTAGGTTAGGTTAGCGTGGGATTAGTTACGTTAGCTTAGTGTTAGGATTAGGTTAGGTTAGGGTAGTTAATCTTCAGGTTAGGTTAGGTTAGGTTAGGGTAGTTAATCTTCAGGTTAGGTTAGGGTAGTTAATCTTCAGGTTAGGTTAGGTTAGGTTAGGGTAGTTAATCTTCAGGTTAGGTTAGGTTAGGTTAGGGTAGTTAATCATCAGGTTAGGTTAGGGTGGTAATCTTCAGGTTAGGTTAGGGTAGTTAATCTCAGGTTAGGTTAGGTTATAGTTTACGGTAGGTTTGGATAGGTTAGACTAGGTTAGTGTGGGATTAGAGTTAGGTTAGCTTAATGTTAGGATTAGGTTAAGTTAGGGTAGTTAATCTTGAGGTGTAATAAGGTGGGGTGGAGATACTTCTAGTAATCCTTAGAACTATTAGACTGGTGTAGATATATAGATTAAATATCACTAAGGGTTTATTGTCTAGCTCTTGTCGCTTTTAATCGTCACGTGAGTAAAACAAATATTACAACAATTTATCTAAAGTCTGAGCTCTTAAAGTTTAAATTACTTTATGGCAGGTGAGAGAGAGAGGGAGGGAGGGAGGAGGGTGAGAGAGAGATGACAGTATGAATAAGGAGATGAAGATGGGAGAGAAGGACATGGAGAAAGAGAGAGAAAAGGGGGAAAGGAAAGAAGGAATAGAAGAGAAGGAGAAAGAGAGAGGAGATGAGTGGAAAGCACACAAGTAGGTCAGTATCTCCGTCACAACCATCAGTGTTTTTATCTTCACTACAACAGACAGGTATAACCTCCGTTGGTCCTGGAAATATAATGTGTTGGTTCTTTCGGGCTAAAACAACTGGTTTATAATGTATCACTAACTATAACCGAACCTCCTAATCTACCTTCACCTATCCTAGCCTATCCTAACATAACCTAACCTCCTATTCACCTATCCTATCCTACCCAAAACCAATGATAACGAAAGAGAAAAACAATAAATGAAGATAATAAAGGGGGCGGCAAAAGCATAAAGCACAAAAGAGGGGGGTGAAGGGGGTGGAAGGAAAGGAGAGGGGCTTGATTTACCACATGAGAGAGAGAGAGTGGGTAGGTAGGTAGGAAGGGAGAGAGGCGATGGGATGGGTGGTGTCGGTACGCTTATGAACGTCTGGTTTTATAGCTTAATGACCTTTATTATCGGTTTAAGAGAGGTAGAGTACGGGCAGAAGATGCGTGTCAGTGTTTGCTGGTGAGAGTTATCATCACCTGTTGACACGTGGTGATGAGGGCAGTGTGATAACCGTGACCCTTCATGTTAGTGGCAGTATGGCCAGTGTGAGTGTCTGTATGAGTAGTGGGTTATGGTGATGGTATGGCCAGTGTGAGTGTCTGTATGATTAGTGGGTTATGGTGATGGTATGGCCAGTGTGAGTGTCTGTATGATTAGTGGGTTATGGTGATGGTATGGCCAGTGTGAGTGTCTGTATGATTAGTGGGTTATGGTGATGGTATGGCCAGTGTGAGTGTCTGTATGATTAGTGGGTTATGGTGATGGTATGGCCAGTGTGAGTGTCTGTATGATTAGTGGGTTATGGTGATGGTATGGCCAGTGTGAGTGTCTGTATGATTAGTGGGTTATGGTGATGATGATAGGATGATCAGTATTGGGTATGATTAGTATGTTATGGTGATAGTGAGAGAATTATCAGTATGAGTGTAGCATTAGTATGACATGGGTGATGATGATATAAGTAATACTGTATTTCACCGTCTCAGTCTTATCGTGTTACCTGAAGACGCCATCTAGTGATTTCTTCCACAATTGCAAAAAATCATCAGTGAGGAACCATCTTGCCTCATCAATCAACCATATTCTTCCAAACTACGCGGAATCCCTTTGAAATCTGAGAGACAGACTTATGCTTACTGACAAATAACTTTTCCTAACAGATAAATCATGATCACAGACAGACAGACAGAGACAGGTAAATAGTTTTTTCCCGGATACAACACCACGCTGGACAGTATTTATCACCGTGAACCAACATGTTAAAAGGTTAGGTTAAGGTATGGCGGCGTTGTGTTCTTATTACAGGAGGTAGAATATGATAGATAGCGGGCCAGTGAGGGATGGAGGAAGGGAAGATGACAAGCCTCCCCCCGGCGGCCATAAAGTCATCTCGGACAGTAATGGATCTAGGGGCACTTATCATATGTTCCTCTCAACGCGGTTTTGTCTCTTGGTTCTTAAAGACTCTTACGTTAACTTTACTCTCTCTCTCTCTCTCTCTCATCGTCGCTAAGTCAATAGAGAGAAAAGTAACGCAAGAATTTCTGAGAATCCGGAGCCCGCTAACTGCTGCCCAGATGTATCTGTTTCTCAACTCAAAATGTAAGAACTGGCGCATCTGACTCACTTTAGCTACAACAGATGACATCGTAATTGCGGAATGAGAATCTGTCGTAGCTAAAGCGTTCTAATACAACGATCGGTCTATTGTAACTAAGAATCGTTCTAATATGCCCAGGGTATCGTAGCAATAAGCGTTCAAGCATACATACCCAGCCTACTATACCAATAAGCTTTCTGATATCTAACAAACGATCTCTCGTGATTACAAGCGTTATAACCAGTCCGTCATAACAATAAAATCTTTCTATCAACACCATTTACAAGAACAATAAATGAATACTTTATTAATTTTTAGAAAGACTTGTTGGTTCCTGTGTCTGTCTTCCCGCCGTCGCCGCCGCCACTTACCGCCACCCACCACACCCACCATCGCCGCCATACTCAAAGACTGGCTTCTTCTACCTCAAACCCCTAAAATCTTCACCATTTTTATTAATTTCTTGCTTCTTTTTATTACTTTATTACCGTCATACCTTATTACCCTTTAACGGTGATTTTCGTTTATGTCTGGTTTGTGTTTTTGAGAAAAGATTTTGCGCCGTTGTCATGGGTTTTATAATTTTTATATATGTATAATTTTTACTGCTTATTTTATTTTTTCTTGATATTTTGTTTTTGTTTTATTTAAAGATTTTTTAGTATTTGTGACATTTATATTCATCGTTTGATTCTTATTGCTTAAACTGTCATTACAAGATTCTTACTCCATTGACTTATTGCATGATTCCACTGCATGATTCTCGTTACATGGTTCTTTTTGGTTAGTTCTTCTTAGTTGATTATTCTTAGTTGATTCTTATTGCATGATTTCTACTGCATGATTTTTATTAGTTAATTCTTCAATTGATTAACAGTGATTTGTTTCTGTATCATGATTCCAAGTGATGATTCTAATTTACATGATTCATTAGATGTTCAACACGCAACACACTACAATGGTGAGCGACTGTCCTCCAACCAGACCTCACTATCCCACACTGATCACCATTAAATGAATAAAGGAAGTCACTTTAAAGTTATAATGGTAGAAACATTTTTTTTAATTTGATAATATCGGTGAAAATTAATCTTGAGCGTCGATAACATACACGGGGGAGAGGATGGCTTGTGTACACCCTCTTACAGGCCGCCAAAATCTCTCGAAAAAATTGCAATGGAAAAAAAAAGTATATTAAATATCAAATAATCGCCTTGGTAAGAGAGACAAAAAAAAAAGAATAAATCTCTACCGCCTTAGTTATATACGTAATAGTGCGGAGTCATTTCTATCATTTTTAAAATCAATCTTGTGGAACACAAACCACACGTTGATCAGGGAACGAAAAAAGCCGCCGTGTCATGCGTTCCACCGAGGGATATTTTTGGTGGGTTTTAGTAGCCTGGTGCTGCGTGCCTTTCCTGACGTGACATGATGATGTTCTTCGTGCGTGAGTTTTTTTTTTCAACAGCTTCTTTACGCAGTCGATTACCAAAACATTGTTCATCGTTGCTTTTAGAAAATAAACTCCTATGTTTATGTTTTCACAGTATATCGCGTAAAATTTTCATAAAGATCTCAGCACCATGAAACAATAGTAAACAGACGCGTATAAGTGCGTGATAAAAGCTTGACTGTTATTATTATTATAAAATTTCCAGTCACTGAGAGTTCGAGGTAAAGGAGACCAGCTTGGCCAACCAACTCTGCACACCGCCACCTCCCGCCACCCTTTGCAAACTCCCATTCATTAACCGAATTCACATCACTCAAGATTACTGTACTGGTCGAACCCATATATAGGATTGAACACTATAAGAGATCAAAACAATCCCCCGAATAACATATTTACTCAGCAAGAACTGAATCCACTGGGCAGTTTGTTCTGAGTTATCGTGTGAGATTTTTGTGACACTTGAGTAATTTTTGACGCATTTCTCCTGACTTACTTGCTGTTCAGACTTTATCATTGTATTATACCGTAACCTCGTCTCTGTTGTGTTACTGTGAACAGATTCTAGGATATTTCACTGTTTGCTGTTAATAGTGATAACATTGATTCTATGCTTTTGGCTCCAGTGGCTTATGTAATTAAATTTCTGAGGTAAATATTCAATATTATTATTATTATTAGTAGTAGTAGTAGTATTTATTATTATTCTTATTATTATTATTATTATTATTATTATTATTATTATTATTATTATTATTATTATTATTATTATTATTGCGGTTGTTGTACTGTAATTAATGAAAGAAAAAATCCCCCAGGTTAGGAGACTACCGTATTAATATGACTTAGAGTACCCAAAAATTCAGGTCCTTTGTGCTTAAATCATTAAAGGGGAAAGTTTACACCGGATGTCAAATGTGACCTTTTTAAAGCGTTATTTCTCCCCGTGTAGATGAGTGAGGTGCGGGTCAGGGAGGCTATGATGGTTCTGTCTTAGTTGTGGTCACTTTTATGGTATACTTCAGGCGTCCACGAGTGATACCAGAGCTACCCGGGCCTGATACCTGCCGATGCCCTGCCCTGATACCTTGTCCCGATACCTGCTAATACCCCAGCTATAATATACAGTATACCCTGCCCCGATACATACCGATTCCAGAACTATCCGGGCCTGATTCCTGCCGATACACAAGCTATTATTATAACCGAGCCCGATATCCAAAACGAATCCGATATCTGGGCACGATACCCAAATCAGAAACCTATAAGATTGTTACATAAAATATCTTCTTTTAATTAACGACTCAGGATAATACATTCAGTAAAGTCTCCGTGTAATACCGACGCCATTTTGTGTATTAGTTTATATAAGGAGTCACTTGGATGGGTTTTTATATTTGCATTTACGAGAAAAATAAAGCTTACGATCCTATGAGAATCTATGTTCGTGTCTTGGACTATGAGAGCCAGTGAGTTACGTTGTCACAGGTTCCGTCACGATGAAAATTTAACGTAAGAATTTTTGTGAATATATCTTTGTACCATAGCTTATAAGTCAGTAAGATACGTCCTCACATATTCCTTTACGATAAAAATTTAAGCTAAGATCGTTTGAAAATATATCTGTATTTAGTTTAGCGTATTAAACTCAGATACATTCTCACATATTTACGAAAAAAAATTAACTTACGATTATTTGAGAATCTCTGTGTTGTGGTTTATCAAATAGGTTAGATATGTTGTCATAATTATAGTGAGAGGAAATTTTAGCGTAGGGATGTTTCAGTGTTGGGGGGTAGGCAGTGTCTCCACAGCCAGTAAGTGTAGCTGCCCCACTTATATGACCCATCCACTGTGGCCACTGATTTATGACCTCTGGAAGCTGTGAGTTATGCTCCATGTTGTTACTTGTTGGAAAATGTTTCTTACTGGAAATTCTTACTTATTAGAAATTGTTACTTCATAAAAATTCATACATGCTAGAAATTGTTACTTTCTGGAAATTATCAATTAGGCTGACGTGTGACAAGAGAATGAGAAAGATTACATTTCAGTTAACAGAAAAAAACGTAATCCTGATTTTTCTCCTGACTACCACATTGTAATCCTCAGATGTAACAGAATTAATCCTCCACCTACCACATTGTAATTTTCAGGTGTAACAAGTAATCCCTCTAGCCCAGCTTTACAAAGTTTATTTACAAACATCTATACAAGTTCTGGCTCAGGTATATAGTACAGGTAACATATAGTGAAGGAAACATTAACATGGCGCTCTGATACTTTTAACTTGTACTGCATTATGAAAGAGAACATATTTTTACTTATTAAATAGTTTCATGTGTCGGGATGTGGCGCCCTTGTCTGTAATACTTATCTTGTTACAGAATTAATGTTACTCGCAAAGTACATTTTAAAGTGATTATAATGTACATGTAATCAGACGTACTGTACTATTACAATGTGTACATATAACTAGCCTCTCTGTACTAGAAGTGTTGAGTGCTAGAAGCGTTTATATCTTGCCCGGGTTACTGAACCAATTTGAAAATACTGTAAACAAATTAATATTACCGTAATTGTTCTTTGTACCTGTATCTGTACCTGTGACTGTACCTCTTATGATGTTTCTTGTTATCGTGTACAGTTTTAATCTTTATTATGATCAGTAAGACCCTGGCTGACTGGCTGTTTGACTAACTGATTGTCTGGCTGGCTGACTGTGTAACTAGCTGTTTGGTTGTTTGACTGGCTGGTTGGTTGGTTGACTGGCTGACTGGCAGGAAGGAGAGAGAGAGAGAGAGAGAGAGAGAGAGACTGGCAGTGTGGTGACAAGTAGCAGTAATAAATTAGAAACAATCAGGTCTTTGTTTTTCATTCCATAAATCACTACTGTTTCCTGTCGGCCGTGAGTCAGGGAGGCAGAGCTATACCCGGCCTCTCCTGCCTCAGAGGCGTACGTTATCTGCGTGTTTTTTTTTACATTCATACATCGAGCATTTACCAGCGAGGACATTCTTCGTATTTCAACATTATGACGGTGATGATTGGAAAATTCATGGTTGAGTTATGGAGGAGGATAAAGGGAGGGGGGGGGGATGTGTTTGCCTGGTAGCGGTGTGGTGGCGAAGTGGTGGTTTTAGGGTGTTTGGGAGATGGGCAGGGAGGGAGGGGGTGGTTTAGGGGCAATATTGGTGGTGGTGGGTATGGCTAGTCAAGGTACCCTGGTGCTGGCCCCACACACACACACACACATAAAACGTACAGCCCATGACAAGAGTCCGTCAGTCGCTTTGTCACCACCACATCAAGCTGTCCTCGCTTCTTAAGGCACTCACTCGTAGTCGAGGACTTCCGTTGGTGGTGGTCATCGTGGTAGTGCTATTTTTCTGGTTATGGACGGTCGTTCTCGCTCTCGACCGTAACTATTTATATACTAAGGAACCATTACGTGGTGGAAGGCTTATAAGAACAGTCAAGAAACATATTAACTGTCATGAGACCGAGAGTTTGGTCAAGAATCCATTAATTGGTGAAATATTCCTGGAACATCAAACTAACATTAAAGGTTTCTTAAGAGTGTCAAGGAAATTACGAGACTGGCGGAAACAGCCGCTGAACAATAGAAGGTTTCCGAGAAAATTAAAGAAAACATTAAGTGATAAGTTTTCCCAGAGAGTGAAGGAGAGGTGGACCTGAGTGAACACCGTAGCAGAAGAGAGCAACACCGGGAGCCGTCGGGTTGAGTGTGTGTGTGAAAGTTAGGTCAGGCAGCTCACGACACCCGAACGAACGGCCGCGTCATGCGTGATTAATCTGTGAACATCGATTTCAGGGAGGCCGACTTGGTGTAAACAGGATCGGAGCCGTGCATGAAATAGTGGCTGAATATTCATTGGTTACAACGTGTGGGTGTCGCTCAGGACGCATTACGGACGAGTGAGTGTGTAATAAGATGATGACCCGCCAACACCACTCAACAATACAACACCTTCAGCACCGCCTTGATCTTTGATCTCCGAAAATTAATTACGCAATCTTGGAGAACTGATAAGTCGGTTTTCCTTGCCGGAGGGAAGGAGTGGTGCAGTCCAGTACACGGACCGGAGTTAGTGGGGCATCACTACCTGTACCAATCACATCTCTTCCCGCCCAAGATCACAGATCGTGCGTAGCCGGAGGTTCCCGTCGATATCTGGCCCCTACGGTACCATTTCTTCTCCCCTCTAACGGAAACCCTTCATCCGAAAACTTCTTTGAATGGACTGAAAATAAATAAGAAATTGCCGCACCTTCTCCCTGGCACGAAACTGGACTTTTTTCCTCTCCTCTCAACTGAAGACAATTAAAAGAAAGTACAGAGGAAAGAAGAAACGGCCGCAACTAATCTTACCTTCACTCCGCTGACCGGAAACAACATTTTTGTACGATGCAGAATTTCTCTCTCCTGACCCAGCAGGAAAACACACAGCTGGGCCACGAGGCTAACACAGCCACACAACTTTACGGGTTATCAAGTGACTTATCAGCGCAATAACTGTTTGTGTCGACGTCCAGTGAACTTAGAACGTGATCGACAGAAAATTGGAACATTGAGTCAACAGCACTACAGATAAACTTAAAACATGTTAAAACGAGAAAAAATAAAAAAAAATTGAAGGAAAAAGAATATCAATAACTTAAAAAACAATTAATAGTGAACATTTAACTAGACAATAATCATATACAGATTCCTAGTGAACGTCAGTGTTGCCAAGAGAGAAACATTATACCACTGTTGCCATAATGGAGTGGATATCTCTCGTTTCTAGAGGTAGGTGTTTGTGTTGGGGAAGAGCGTTGGTGATTTACATATTTATTTCTTAACTAATTACTTTATTAATCTTTATATTTAAACACTTTTCCACGGAGTGAGTCAGTCTAGTGATGTGAAATGATTAGTGTTGTGTGTGTGTGTGTGTGTGTGTGTGTGTTGGTGTAAAGCGTATATGTGTGTGCTGTGTGGTGAGTGTTGGTGAACTGTTTCTGTGATTATGAAGTGTGTTGGTGCAGTGTGTGTGTTGATATAGTGTGTGTTGATGTATGTGTTGCTATAGTGTGTGTTGATGTATGTGTTGCTATAGTGTGTGTTAAAGCGTGTTGCTATGGTATATATTGACGTTTAGGCGAGCAGGAGCATCTGAAAAAATATAAACAGTGTGTACATTCACCTGGTGGCAGATTAGGTGACAGGTGAGAATGACCAAGAGCGTGAAGTGTTGCTAATTAACCCACACCTGTATCCACACCTGTACACCTGCACAGAATGTCCACAATGCCACAAATGTAACTGTAGAGTAGATGTGTTTGTCGGGTTGTTACAGATGTTAATAGCGAAGTAGATGTGATCTCTCTCTCTCTCTCTCTCTCTCTCTCTCTCTCTCTCTCTCTCACACACACACACACATACACACACAAATGCATTTCCATGTAATATTTTCATAATTTATTTTGATTGAGTATACATAACTGAACAAAATTATTATTATTATTATTATTATTATTATTATTATTATTATTATTATTATTATTATTATTATTATTATTATTTTAAGTTAACTGGATATTGGAGAATAACTGAGACATTATATAAATATTGTGGCTTTTTTGAGAAAGTACAATTTGCTTAAGAAACTAAAACTTATAAGAAACTGAAACTTGTATAAAAACTAAAAAAAATCCAAGACAAAGACTTTTGTTAGAAAAATAATAATGAGTTTCATAAATGTACAAACTCCATCAGATGTAACTCACCTTAAATGTAACTCACCTCTCAAGTACTATAACTTCCTTATTAATAAAAGCCTGTGACCTAACCCAAACCTATCCTGAATATGACTTAACCTAACCCAAACCTCTCCTGAATATGACTTAACCTAACCCAAACCTATCCTGAATATGACTTAACCTAAACCAAACCTATCCTGAATATGACTTAACCTAAACCAAACCTATCCTGAATATGACTTAACCTAAACCAAACCTATCCTGAATATGACTTAACCTAAACCAAACCTCTCCTGAATATGACTTAACCTAAACCAAACCTATCCTGAATATGACTTAACCTAAACCAAACCTCTCCTGAATATGACTTAACCTAAACCGAACTTGACTTAAGCCTAACCTAATCTAACCTAAACTTAACCTAATTTAAAAGTAACTTCACCTAACTTATTTACAGTTAAGTAAATTATTTTTTCTAAAGTACGGGTAAATTTGTCTTGCCTTTGGTGCCACGATTACCTTTAGGGAATTATTGCATTAAGTTATTACATGAAAGGTGATTTTAACCTTCCTGTTACACGCTCAAGACAAGAACAGATTGGGTGTAGAGGAAGAGAACTTTGTGTTGTATACTGAAGTAGAGTAGAGTAAGGTAGCTTAAATTAGGTGAGGTTAGCAGTAGAGGGTTTAGTCATCAAGTGAAATAAGCGGTGATGCTTAATCTTCATGAGGCCATTTTTTTGACATCTCAGAGTTCGACTTTTTTATACAGTGATTTTGATGATTAATCAATGTTAACATTGTTGATTGTGTTGTGGTTTATGAGGTGTGCTGGTGTTGATGTCGGGTGTGTGGTGCCTAAGTCATAAGGTACCTGTAGTGTTTACGTGATCACCTGTGTTTATCTATTACCTGTGTCAGGATAACATAGGTTATATATTGTTGCCTCGTAATAACCATCTGTTGATCCATGTTTGTACAGGTCAGGGCCGCGTGAACCAGCTGGGCGGCGTGTTCATCAATGGTCGCCCTCTACCCAACCACATTCGCCTCAAGATCGTAGAGATGGCGGCGGCGGGCGTGCGTCCGTGCGTCATCTCCCGCCAGCTGCGCGTCTCCCACGGCTGTGTCTCCAAGATCCTCAACCGCTACCAGGAGACCGGCTCTATCAGGCCAGGCGTCATCGGCGGCTCCAAGCCTAAGGTGACCACCCCAGACGTCGAGAAAAGAATTGATGACTATAAGAAAGAGAATCCTGGTGTGTTCTCCTGGGAGATCAGAGATAGACTGGTCAAGGTAAGATAACCATCGTCCATATTCTCGAAGGCTCTTACGTTAACTTCCTCCACATAAAATAAGACTTCAGAACACATCTGACCCACTAATTCACGACGCAAGTAAAAAAGCGAAAAAACAAAACATATTTGGATAAATTCTCTCATCATCATTAACGATAAAAAATATTAACGTAAGGGTCTTTGAGAATTTGGAGTCAGTTCAGGACGACTCAACCAGCTGCATGACCAGGCCACCATAGATGAGTCCCCGAGGTAACTTCTCTACACAAAACTTTATCGTTAAGTTGCTGTTCTTTTAACCACACATGTGAAATAACTGAACTTATCCTTAATTGATTTTTCATGAGTAAATACTAAATATATTCACCTAATATAGAAAATAACTTATATAATGACCACAAGCTCAGGTGTTGTGAACAGTGTGAGTTGTAGACCAGAGGAACATCTTCTCAGCTCCAGGTATACTGACGCAGGCGGTGGTGTTTCTCTTGTTCCTTCAGGAGGGCGTAGTGGACAAGGCATCAGCGCCCTCCGTCAGCTCCATCAGTAGGATCCTGAGGGGCGGGAAGAGGGACGACGACCCAAGGAAGGACCACAGCATCGACGGTATCTTGGGTGAGTGTCCTACTGTCCTTATACACTGCCTCCATAGTCCCCCACACACTGCCCCCATAGTCCCCCACACACTGCCCCCATAGTGCCCCACACACTGCCCCCCATAGTGCCCCACACACTGCCCCCCATAGTCCCCCACACACTGCCCCATGGTGTACACTGCCCCCATAGTCCCCACACACTGCCCCCATAGTCCCACACCGCCCCATAGTCCCCCACACACTGCCCCATAGTCCCCCCCACCACCTGCCTCCATAGTCCCCCACACCTGCCCCCCATAGTGTGCCCCCACACCCCCCATAGTCCCCCACACACTGCCTCCACAGTCCCCCACACACTGCCCCCATAGTCCCCCCATCCACAGTCCCCACACACGCCCCCATAGTCCCCACACACTGCCCCATAGTCCCCACACACTGCCCCCATAGTGCCCCCACACTGCCCCATAGTCCTCACACACTGCCCCCATAGTCCTCACACACTGCCCCATAGTCCCCCACACTGCCCCATAGTCCTCCAACACTGCCCCCATAGTCCCCCACACACTGCCTCCACAGTCCCCCCACATGTTCTCAGTCACCAGGTGTTTCTCCGGGGCTGAGAATTCTCATTTATCCTTACGTTGAATTTTTCCTTTAAGTGAATTGTAAGATTCCAGTTACTAAACAGTCTCTGTTCAATACTGACGCCATGTTGGTTGTTGTTTTTGTCTCGTGGACTGAAACAGATATTTACCTAATTGCTTTTTTGTTGAAGCTTTAAAATGGCGTCGAATCCATACTTTGACTCTATCGTAATTGGGAGTCGCTATCGCAATGCTTTCCTCTGTCTGTCGCTCTTATGGCTGAACATTTTGTCGTGAGGGTTTGTGAGAATGTGAGTCCTCCGTCAACACCAGAAGGACGTAAGTGAAGGCTTCCCATGACACGATCATCACCCGACGACTTTTTATTATTATTTTATTATTTTACTGCCTCTTGCCTGCCTGTCTGCCTGTGGGTGTGTGGCCGCAGCTATACCTCCCTACCTACCTATACCTTACGGGTGCGGGAAGCTGGGCACACTATAGGCTACCTCTACCACCGCAACCGCTGCCGCACCTCCAGCCCACCGACACACTAACCTCTCTCAGGATTCTCACAGATTTCTACGATTTTTTTTCCCAAACAAAGAGAAACTGTCAAAGCTTCATACGTTAACTGCTTTACATAACTGGAGATAACAAATGGGTCTAGTTGTGGTAGTCTCTCGGCTCTATATCACCGCTGTTTTGGTCAACATATTTGCACCTCGTCTTAATTGAGTAGATAAAAATTCGTTCTCACATCACCAATTACGAAAAAAAAATACCGTATCAATCAGCACTTTGAGTCACTAGCGACATCTGGCAACACTCGTTATGTGATTCGATTCACAAATTAACCACAAAAAATTCTAAACTAAGTTATAAATAAATCTATATATTCATCATATTACTCTCGGAGAATCCGTTACAAAACACAACGGCTGCTGTACAAAAACTATACAACCCGGGTTTAGTGAGACTTCCTGGCGGCGGTCACTCTCTGCAGTGACACGGGGCGTTATTCCGTGTTACGTTGTGGTGAACCTTCGTGTTATGCTATGTTATGTTGTGGTTGACCTCTGCGTTATGCTGCATTATCCACCTCTTCCTTGTCAATGTCTAGACGGTTTTAGAAGACATTAAAAGACACTTAAGCTGGCCTCAACTGTGTCAATGATTGGTTATGCTGGAGGGAAAAATCCGGGTTTTGTTTATGTTTTCCCGCAATTTCCTTCCACGTCAGCGATTTAAGATTTTGTTTACAAGTTATTTATACATTTTCTTGTCATGTCAGCTGTTGATTAAGTTGTTTGTGTATCACTGTGTCCGTGCTGTGTGTTGAGTAAGTAAAGGTTTGTTGGCTGGTTTTTCTTCGCTTTACTCTGCGTCAGTGACTGGCGGAGGAGAATGTATTTGAAATAATCTGTAACATTCAATGCATTATGGCATTCCTGACCACTGAGGTTTGTTATACATACCCTTTGTGACCTCTACTCTGTAACCCTTTAGTGCTACCGCCCACAGGATGAGTATTGGGTGCACAATAAACTAGTCGTTGTAAGTGGTAAAATTAAAAAGAAAAAGAAATAAATTAATCCCAAGTATAACCTAAACTAACCATGGCCATCAGCTGGACCTTTTCAGGGGGGGAGGTGGGAACAACACCTCCCCATTTTGATTTGTTTATCAAAATTAGGTTAGTTTAAGTTATGTTAGATTAGGCTGGGTTAGTTTGGGTTAGGTTAGGTTTTTTCCTTGAAGGATTTTGTCCTTCACTTGACAAGGAGAGAGGTTAGTTCCCACAACTCAACGGTCTTGGGAGAGGTGACAGGACTGTTGTGGTTGACAGTACAGTACAGTACAGTACTTTGCGGTGCAGTACAGTGCGGTACAGTACAGTACAATACAGTGCAGTGCGGTACAGTACAGTATAGTACAGTACTTTGCGGTGTAGTACAGTGCCGTACAGTACAGTACAGTACTTTGCGGTGCAGTACAGTGCGGCACAGTACAGTACAGTACTTTGCGGTGCAGTACAGTGCGGTGCAGTACAGTACGGTACAGTACAGTATAGTACAGTACTTTGCGGTGTAGTACAGTGCCGTACAGTACAGTACAGTACTTTGCGGTGCAGTACAGTGCGGCACAGTACAGTACAGTACTTTGCGGTGCAGTACAGTGCGGTACACGCCATAATATTCGCGTGGTGACAGTATCGTAAGTTGGCGACTCACTCAACAGATTTACCAAGTTTATCCAGAAACATTAAACAAATACAGGTTTAGGTATAAAGATATAACCATTCCCTAATCTTTCCTTTCAATATTTACTGATTTTTCGTCAATTTTTCCTATTAATCTTTCTTTAAAAACCTTTAATACTTTTTGCCTTTTATTTGGAATCTTCCTTTTCACCTCCAACATAATCCTCTTGGGTCAATTCAACAAGTCTTAATGGCCGACCGGAAGTCATATTTCCACACCAAACGGCTGACTGACCCACATCTGGCCCCGGCTGTCGTCACAACGTGGCTCCCGCGTCCATTACCTTACTAGGCTGTGTGATGAGAAGCCTGGTGGCGTGTGAACAGTCCCCTCACTGACTGATATGGTGTTACACTCGCACTTGAGGTTACCCCAACCAGTTATGGGAGGGAGGATAGTGTTTTGAGGCTTAGTATTTACTCGACGCTATATTGATTGACAAATTTACTGTAGCTTCCGTTAGGCAAGATTAGATTCGTCCTAAAATATGTAGTTATGAGAGTAACCCCTCAAATGATCAAATTATAATTGTGAGTGTATTTTCAAACCCTCGAATATTCAGTCTCTTCTATTAACTGTCCGTACGATACGATACGATAAGAAAACGATACGACACGATAAGATGGAGGTTCAATATGTCTACGATGCCATATTCTTTGTCACCCATTTTGCCTCTGCTTTAGTGAATAAGCTGGATACGTTCCCACGCTAAACTTGTCGCCGGACCTCTGAGATGTTCCGACCAGCACCCACCCCACCACCACCCTCCCTACCCCTGTCGCCACCCTCCCCACCACACCGACACCCTCCCCACCCCACCACCACCTTCCACCGACACCCTCCCTATCCCTGTCGCCACCCACCCCCCCCACCACAGCCACCCTCCCAACCCCGCCGCTGCCACCCTCCTCTCCATCCCCTCCCTCTCCACCTCCTCTCCATCATTTTCCCCATCCTCTCCATCACCCCTCCCCACCCTCCATCACCCCTCCCCACTCCATCACCCTTTCCTCCCCTCCATCAACCTTTCCTCCCCTCCATCACCCTTACCACACCTTCCATCACCCTCCCCACCCCCTACATCACCCTCACCACCCTCCATCACCCTCAGTTTTTCCAGATTATCGAGACAGTGTTATCGTAATGATCATCCCGTTGTGTCTCTTTCAGTTCGCTTAAGTGATTTATTTGGCTCGCTATTTTCTAACTGGATTACTGAGTTAAGCTGATTTAAGGATCTGGTCATGTTTGATAATCATTTTTTCTATTTTTACCGGACTAGATAGAGCGAAAAATCCGTAATATCTAGGGTCCATTTGATATGAAACCCTCCATTTAACGGATTATATGGTTAAAGAAGTCCGTTATATGGAGGTTTCACTGTATGGCAAATCTTCATGTTTATGTCCAAAACGAATTTTATTTCATTTATTTTTCTCAGCATCAGATCCACGTGATATATATATATATATATATATATATATATATATATATATATATATATATATATATATATATATATATATATATATATATATATATATATATATATATATATAATTTATATGTATTATATCAAGGTATAGTTACATATATAGGTGTAGTAAAATATTATGAATATTAACAAAAAATACACATATTATTCAGGTTCATCGTCAGAGAATTTTGTGTACATAAATTTATACATATTTATTTGCCACACAAGAATGGCTTATTGGCTGCGTTAAACTACAGTATCAGGGAGATCAGAAGAGGCGGAAATTGGACTGACTTAAATGAAACAAAAATTAATCGAGTTTTATCTGTGTTCTGTTAGTTGATGCCCGTCTTGTTTGACCTGACGTGTGGGAGGCTTTCACGTATGAAGGAGTTTTATGTGTTAAGATGCTTTCTATATATGGACCGCGGACCGACACACACACACACACACACACACACACACACACACACACACACACACACGGGTAGTGGGTTTAGCGATGATCAGGATACGGGTGACATCGGTACTGTTTGATGTGTGGGGAGCGGCCAACTGTGTGTGTGTGTGTGTGTACAGGAAAAAGAGAGAGAGATAGAGAGAGAGAACGGGTTGGCCAACTGTGTGAGAAAGAGAAGGGGAGAGAGAGAGAGAGAGATAAAATAATGGTCAACTGTGTGAGAGAGACAGAGAT